AAAATATAACTGAGGTAAATTTTCCCTTCATTACATTCAATATTTCAGAGTTTATAACATTTACTCATCGGCCACTTTTTGCATCTGTACAACTGCTTGTTAATGCAAGTTGATTTCCAGCTTGGCATTAATTCAGTGCATTTAAAAATGTAGACATAGTCAACATGATGTGCTAAAGTTCAAACTGAGCATCAGAATACGGGAAACAGTGGATTTACATGTCTTTGAATGTGGCATGGTTGTTTGTGCCAGTGTTTATGGAGAATGACCTGAAAAGGAGAACGTATCCAGTGTATGGCAGTTTTTTGTTGATGCCAGAGGTCACAGCTGATAGATCAGCTTTCAGCTGATAGAAAGGCAACAGCGAATAGTACACAACTTGTTAAACTAAAGTATGCAGAAACGCTTCTCTGAATGTACAGCACATGGGAAATGGAAGCACAGGAGCTACAGTTGTAGAAAACCACATCATGCACCACTCCTGTCAAATGAGAACTGCTAACAATTTGCAAAGATTGGGGAAAAAAATGTCGCCTGGTCTGACGAGTCTTGATTTCTGCTGCAACTTTTGGATGGCAGGGTCAGAACTTGGCACGATATGAAAGCATGGATTCATCCTTCTGGGAATCAACAGTTCAGGCTAACAGTGGTGGTATAATGGTGCAGGGGATAATTTCTTGGCACACTCGGGGCTCCTTATTCCCCACTAAACAATATTTTAAACACCTCAGCCTACCTGAGTATTGTTGCCGTCCGTGTCAGCATTCTGACAGCTGCTTCTAACGAGATAAAAAACCATGTCCCAAAGCTCAAATCTTCTCAAACTTGTTTGTTGAACATGACAATGAGTTCACAAATGCCTTCCACAGTCATCAGCTCTCACTCCAGTAGAGCACCTTTGGGATGTGGTGGAACAGTAGACTTGCATTATGGATGTTCAGCTAACAAATCTGCAGCAACGGCGTGACACAGTCACAATAGACCAAAATCTCTAAAAAAAAATGTTTCCAACACCTTGTTGAATCTGTACCAAAAAGAATGAAAACAGTTCAGAAGATGACCTGGAATTAGCAAGGTGTATGTATTAAAGTGAGAGGGTGTGAGTGGACTTGATCCTCATGTGAAAAGATCAGCTTTTTAAATGTATTCATGTTCAAAAATAGCCCCCTCCCTTCATTTTTGTCGTGTCAGTTGATTTGGGTGAATTCTAGGAGAATCATAACATTGCTGTAGGTAACCATCCATTATACCATAAACAGAAATAAATAGTTTCTAAACATAGAGGTGGACTTTCAAACTTTTTTCCCAAGATATTATTTTCCCTTCCAGGCCACAGGTGATCCAAATCACCCAACTGTCGAGTAATTTTACAAAATTCGCCTACTTTGGGGTTTAAATCAACATTATTTTAAAAAGTCTGATAACCTATTTAATCGTAAATACCGTGAAACTTAATAGACTTTACCCAGGACTGTACCCTGACTTTCCCTTTATGGTCCCCATCACTGCTATTAAGGGGGACATTTATACTTCACATATTTCCTCCCCTAACTGTACCAAAACAAGCTTGTGGCAATTTTCTGTCACACTATTTTGAAAACTAGGCTTTATTTCTCTGCAGTGGGTGCTTCCACTACATTCCGCCTTCAGTGTTGGAATATTTTATTTATACTTCATTAATTTTGATCACACGGAAAATTTCATGACATCCTGCCTTAATGCAATTAGTGTCAATTTTGTTAAACCACAGAGCGGGCTTGATGTGAACTTAGCATACATCAAGACCATGTGTGGCAATCCAGATGATGGGGGATTGAAAATGATGGCAATGTCCAAGTCTTGCAGTAAATAATAAATGAAAATGCATGACAATCTTTCACAAATGCTGCCAAGAATTTATGGGGAAGGTGAAATATAGCCTCTAAACCTTGTTGTTTTGATATCTCTGCACAAAATCTTTGAGGAATTCTTTTCATCCACAGGCCATCAAAACGGGATTGTGTTTATCTCTCTGCCTCTACTGGTGACTATATTAAAGACTAGTCGAATAGATGATTGGCATGTGGCTGGCAGCTGGAAATGCATTTCTGAGGAGTTTAAAGAGATCAACAGAGTCTGGAGCTCTAAAGCTGCAGAGCGAAAACACTCCAATGTCAAATAAAACCAACCTTGTGCTTTCATCATATGCCCACAGGAGCGACCCGGTATCTATAGTGTATCTTCACTTTCTTTTGTCAACATGCTGTATATTTTCACAGTTTGGGCTACGTAGACTCATTCTTGAGAGTGGCTTGCAACTGTTTGTGTTCACAAGCTAATTGGTACTCAGAGCCAACCAGTTTACTTTTGGTACTGTCAAGCCAATTACAGGAAGAGAAGAGATTTGAGGAAGAGAGGAATCCTCCAACCTGAAAGAAATCTGCAGCTAGAACATAAGTTCTGCAACATTAAACATGGATTTTACTCATTGTAGTCATGCTGGAAAACATAATAAAGTTAATGGGTCAGACGTAATCAAACTAAAGCTGTAACTTATGATTACAGTAACAGAATCGCCCATTTAGTCTGTCAGAGTTGATGACAAATAGAAATCCTCAAATTGCAAATTATGAGTTACTAAAGCACGATGTGAAAAATTGCACCCGCAAATTACAATAGCTGAGCAGCACACGAACAATTTCTTCTACACCTGCATATCCTTCGCACATTTTTAACTTTTAACCAGGAAACATATTTGAAATGTGTTTTCCGCGAGTGTCTTGGGATGAGACAGGCAGCATAATCTTGGCACGTTTTTTGATGGTGGGAGAAACCACAGCGTCCTGTGTAACTCATGCAATCCTGGGTAGCATATAAATGCTCCACACTGACGAGCCCTGTCAGATTACCAGCTGACTACCAGCCTTTGAAAGGGTTCACACTAACAACTGATTAAAATAGTATAATAATAGTATAGTATTTGCAGTACTTTTCTTTTGCTTATTTTTGAGTTGTTTTTGTTGTAATATAAGATTGCTTTGTTGAGTTATAGCTGGTTTAATTATATTTATTGTTGCTAATCTTGCACTATGTGGAATTGGTAAATGGCCTGTATTTGTATAGCGCTTTACACATCCAGTCATCCACCCATTCACACACTTTTCACTTTTCACACAATTCTTCTGGTTTATTTATTAAATCTTTACAAGTAGAATCAATTAATAAGAGGGTCACACAGTTATATAGCCTTACAAATGTGGTTTCATACTTTACCCTCCCTGTAAAAGGATCCTGTCTAACAAACTCTGCAGTAATATGTGGACAGCACCTGTCTTTCTATGTAGATGTCCCTGAACACACCATGGCAAAGCTCAGCTGAAGTAATCAGCTGATTTGGCATATCTGGTCTGGGGAGCCGGGATAAAAGCCACTCCAGCTCATTTAGCCTTTTCTCTCCCTCTGTGGCTTTCCATCTGCGACTGTTCATTCTTTGGTGATTTAATTTAGTTCATGCTCCAAAATGCCCCACAACTCACCGTGCTCACATACATACACTTAATGGCAGCAATATTTCTGATGAGTACGTGCCACATTTAAACTGATTTTTTTATCGTTAGGTTCAAATAAATTGTGTACCCAAAAATGTTAGTACAACAACAAAACTAATTTGTAACATTTATTATTATTATTATTATTATTATTATTATTATTATTATTATTATCTGCTATAATCTGCTATAATAATTAAGTTACTGGACCCTCTCTTCATATCTAATTTAAAATGGGTGGAAAAAAAAGAGTTAAGT